TGATGAATTTAATTAATAAATTGCTATATACATGTTTATATATATTTAATTATAATACTAAAATTTGTGTAGGTTAAATAGCATTTTAAGATATTAAATAGGAAGTCCTGAAAAATAAAAGATATCAAGTTTAATTGATTTGGTTATGAACCTAGCACTTGTATTGATCTTACTATAAAAATGACTCTACAGTACGTCAAAGAACAGTATACCTGTTAACATGAAGATCTGTCGTTTATACATTGAATGAAGATAGTTGAACATATCGTCAAGTGAGCTGAAAAATAGTTTTTCGGTTTATTACCAATCTGCATATAAACAAAAGGATGTTGGAAACCAAATTGTGAAATATATATTAATATATCAGAAGGGGTTATGTGGAGATTTTGGCAATTTCAATAGTTGAAACCATAAGTCAATTGAAGCTAGACCACCATTGAAAACCTGGATGCACTGGATGGCCATTTTTTCCTAGAATGGGACTCGTCAGCAGTGCGCATCCATGATCCCGGCCCCCCCCGCGAGATTCCAACACAGGACGTATCAGTCATCATCTACTCACTAGTAACTGACTTCAAAAAGCATTTCCTGGAGTTCTAGTAAAAAGCCGTGACTAGTGAAGTTCAACCAGGTTTGTTGTGAGATATCAGCTCACTGAAGACAATATATATATACTTTCTAAACAATTAAGTCACTGCATTAAAGTGTTTTATCAATTAAATGTTTGTCTTTTACAATTTTAAGCTTCTGTATCCAGCAGAATAATGATTAAGTAGTTTTGACAACTAAAATATTAATTTTCATTAATTTTTATTCTTATATTAACTAATTAAACAAGAATGTTTAACGAGTAAACAACTAAAAAGTAGTACTTAAAGGATAGAAATGAAATTAACAAATTTAAAATAAACATTAAATGACTAATATAAATGTATGAAAGGTTTAAGAAATAACGATGACAAAAATAAATAAAGTAAAGCACTTTATGTTGTATAGTTAATTTAAATTAATTAAATACTATACAAATAGTTTCCTATCTACTAAACCACGAAATATAAATAAAAGGTTAATATGGAAGGAAAATAATAATAATAATGCTCATATTGAATTTGTTCGTTAATTAAATTCACTTCTGAAGTATTTTAAAGAGTGAGCGTGCCAAAACCGACTAATATTCTTTATTCATTCAAGTGATTTATAATTTTGTTAAATGAATAAGTTTATCCTCAAGAAGTTAATTATTTACCTTTTTTACTTAGTTATATAGATATTATTGAAATAATATAGAGAGTGGTTATCAGTGGAATTCGCGACGCGTGTTTCGTCCTATTTGGGACTCGTCAGCTGAATGTACTTGTATCTCAGAGTTGATGTTCATTCTGATACTCGAATTCAGTACCGTTCGCTACAAACGTTATCGGATTATCCACTTAGCTAGTATCCATCTTTACTTATAATACTTGTGAATCGAGGCAATATTGAGGCAATACACATAGTATGCATATATGCGAATAAAAGACCTAAGCATCAATGGGAAGATTCAAGTAAACAATAACAAATGAATTTGTTGTTGGGATACTTTGATTTGATTATTCATAGTAGAAAATAACTCAAAATGTTTAAACCTGAAAAAACAGATACCTATTCAAGAAGTGGTATTTATTTCAATGGAACGAAAATGTCACATTGGTTTATTACTCATACCCATAAATTTGATGTTTACTTAAATTTTAGGTAAAACTTGTATAGTTACTTTTAATGATCTTTTAAATGATATCTGAAAACTATAGATAAATCTTTGTCAAACAATGGTTTCCTAGTTAAATGTACACTATAGATTTATTTTAGAAAACAAAAATTAATATGTAATGAAGTTGGTGGGCAAGACTATAATTTATGGATGAACCAATCAGATATAAGATTACGAGTCACAAATTTGGGTGCGGAATTCATTCATCAATTTGGCTAAATAGAGTTTGAGCATTATAGCTGATATCCGTTCGTGATGAAAACCCTAAATCTAATTTTAAACACTAACCATCAACTGTTAATGAGGATTTTAACTGCCTTATAACCCTCATTTACTCCTAATTAAAAGTTGTTCACTCTCAAGATCACTTCAGCCTCGCTAAAAGGTCGTCCATATATTATAGTCTCACCAAGTTGATGAAGTACTTTAAAATAAGTCTAATAATAACATAATATATTGTCCTATGGGAAGTATTATAAACGATGGATTCTTCTTTATAAAAATGCATAGAAATATAGATATATTTCAGGTAGATTATCCATTTGAAATTAGCTAAATGTCATGACATATCATATTGGAATTTCATAAATACATCAAAAATATCGGAAAAAAGGCCAGAACACAGCGAAAAAAATTTTATTTTTATTCCTAAATACATTAGCAATAATAAGATATAAAATAAATAATAATAATAAGCTATCTACTGAGCAGTGCGAACAATGTAGTTAAACAATTCACAAACACTAAATGGTTGAATTAAATACCATACACTTAAGTAATAAAAGAAAAGTAAATTAGTTTAACCAATTATCATAAACTTCGAATGAGAATTTAAGTAGGTGAGGACTTAATATAAATTGGTAATGAATCTGTTATACACGTAAATATTTGTAACCCTTTCTATTATACTTCAAAAAAATAGGCGGTATTTTTTTAATTGGGAACAGCCAATAAACATAATTATGCATTGAACTACTTATCATTATGCAAACATATGGTTTTCTTATTATTATGAAATTTGTAATTCTTAAAGCTTACAAAGTGATTAATATAGGAAACAACTTATCATTTGTTCCAAATGGTATTTACACCTAATGTAAGTTACTCTTGTTGTAAGTAATCTTCATCAAAAAGAAATTCTAAAGAAACTTAATATAACAGAACATCTTAGTAGTAATGGACTATATTATTAGTAAATAGAAAAGAGCAGACGGTTGGACAAATCTGAAATTCCATCATAAAGTGGCTGTAAGATTAGAGCAGAACCATGAAATTTATAAGTTGGATGTTATCTCATTTCATTTAATAACCAAAACCTACTTTTACATTACTGATACACTACTACTGTAGTGAACAGAACACGGGTTGGGACAATCGAATTATATATATTTAGCACAAAATTACAGAGTGACTTGGTAAAACAGAAAAATCATACCATAATACGTAATTTGCAAAATGTTCAATAATTGTCTCGAACTTCATTGTTCTTGCATTTCCATACTAATTGCTTTCTAATCCCGTTCCTCCTTACTTGATCTTCCCCATCTTCTGCCGCCAGACATTACATTCCTGACTCGCGTCATATACTACTTATATCAATATATGTAGCACACAACACATTGCTTCTACTTCTGCTGGTCCTATTATAACTACTACTGTAGTGAACAAACAAATGAGGTGGGCTGGACTAATGTATTGTATATTGCAAACTCACAGATTAATTTCGTAAACTATAAAAACAATGCTTCATGATTCTTCTAAAATGTTGTTATTACAATTGTTCTTTGTTTTCTTATCTGTCCTCTTCAATCTTCTCAATATTCTGCCTCTAGACATTCAACTTTCGGTTGATGTTACATAAAATTTATATCTATCAACATAAGTAGTATACACTACACTAACGCTACTACTATTACTATTACTCTATAACTAGTTACTTGTCAGTGAAAACTAAGAAATTAAGATCTATATTTAGATGTCAATAAAGCATGTGACAGTAACATTTTTATCAATTATTTCTTAAATGTATTACACATAAAATGGTAATAAATTATTATTGTATCCATCCAAATGACTTTAATTATCATGTTGTTTTTTTTTGCATTTTCATATGGGAACGTTTCAGATATGTTAGACGTTTTTAAAAACCATAACTAAATACTGACAAAAAAAATAGATGACTAGATAATCAGGTTTTGTATTTAAATTTCCATAATTCTGTATAACTGTTTATGACAAATAAATGAGATAGGCCTTTATCAAGATATCTGTGTAATTAGGAAAACCATAGTGATATAAATATATATATATAACATTTTAGGATAAGATACATTATAAATTGATGTCAAATATTAAATTAATTTCCAAAACTAGTTCCAGTGAACTGCCTTATTCTTTGTTCCACACATCTAGGCAACATATAGCCACGTCCTATTTATGATTTACATAATTAGGACCCATTGACCATCTAGTTAGTATGATATAACTAGACCAGTTAAATTTTAAAAATTTCAATCACAACCAAATAAACACCCATGATAAAACATTTGATTGTAGAACTAAATTCATATTTTCACTGGTCTTGTTTTATAACTTAATCCCTGGTATTCAGGTTCATAATAAAATGTACACAATTAGCCAGATTACAATTTTAGCAACATCACTTGTTTATTGACATACAAGTTCACTCTGTCGTTACTTCAATAACATTACATGTTGTGCTTTAGATTAATGAAGCAGTAGATGGAAATAAGTTAGAATTCGACGTGGATTTCACACTTCATCACTAATCTTGATAACAGATAAAATGTTGTCAGTTAACATTTAATTCTTAATGACTTTCAACGATTACACAGATGTTTTCCTTTCCTTTTTTCGGAGGTTACATAACCACAAACTATATTAATCAAAATGTGGGCGTGGTTCTGTAAAATTAATTAAACTAATTAGTAAACATTGTAGTGATACTTATAATTCGAAAAGGTTTTTAGTTTTTCCGGTTGCTTATTGAATAGTTTCTATTTTAATTTTGCACATATACCGTACTCATTCAGAAGTCCTGACAGTCTAACTCATGTTTTTTTTGTAGTATCTTCAAGTTCAGAGACAAATTAAATTCTTACTACTTAAGGCTTTAAACTGTTATATTTACTTGTTCATCATAAGACCAAAATACCATAAATCCAACTTGGATTTTTAATTATTGTGCCTTATTGTAACAACTGCTTTCCTTCCGAATTATTGTTTTTAGGTAGTTGCATTTGATTCAGGTATACCAAGTTTATCGACAAGCACAAATGTCCATATTATTTTGGATGATATTAATGATTGTATACCAAACTTTTCTCAATCGGAGTACAATTTTACTATAGTTGAAGATTTTATGCAAAATTATACTGGACCAAGAATTATTGGCATGGTGGTTGCAACTGATTGTGACATTGGATTGAATAGTATGCTAATCTACTCTCTTCTTGATCCCGGTTTACCTTTTGAAGTAAGTTGAAAAATAAATCAATAAATCTACACTATATCAAAATCCTATAACTATGGACGGTGTATACTCATAAAGTTATCCTACTTGTACCATATTACTACATTATCTCAAAATTATACAGACCATATTAGCATTGGTTACCAGCCATGACGTTTTTCGAAAATATGTTTATGAACACATGCAACTTCTTATATCTTATAAACATCGTTGTCATTGAAGCGACACTTAGTCATCCATAACCATTATTCACCTGACTGATGTAGGTGACCCTATCTGGCAGAATGATGTAGTTTGTGAAAACCTCATCTAGAAACTGTAAGTTTTCTATACATAAGGGTGTAATTTAGTAATCATAACGAATTAGCTCAATTGAATATGTAAAATTAAGTATTAGTCAATGTGTTTAAAAACAACCCGGTAACCATCAGACTCAACGAATTCCAATGACTTTTGTTGTGATGACCTGATAGCCGATTGATACAGTAAATAGGATAATATAGACTAATTAACAGATAATCTGCTTATGGGCTCGTAACTTAGATCTTAGATGAATAGACTCTAAACAACAGAACAATCGACAGACCGACTGAATTTATGAATGTACACTAATAAATTTTGACTACTATTTGTAAGCATAATATTTATCCACAATAATACTATTGTGTTACTGATCAAAAAGTAAATGACTAATCATATAAAGAAAAATGTAATTACTAACTATTCATGGATCCACGTCCTATCAGTAACTAGAAGGAATTGATAACAGAATTTCGTTTACAGTATATTTAAGGAAGTTCATATGATACTTGCTCCATATATTTTAGTAATACTACAAACCATTTAAATCAAAATACTAAGTTAAATATATTAACTGAAGTTCTCAATATAGTATGCATTTATTGATTTGACTGTGGATTAAATATTGTGTACGAAAACTTGTCCTTTTGAATACAGTTCTTTTAATATATGGTATTTACAAGCACCAAAAGATTTACTCCTTGTATTATATACAAGAAATAATGTTATCAATGAATTGATTATCCGATTTTTTCCCAATACAGCTAACTTGGAATTCTTCTCATATCCAGCTTATCGATTTTAAGTTTGAACAAGTTATAGCGATGAATTCTAGACATAATTTCATGTAAATTATTAACAAAATATTATTTCGAACAATTGATCTATGTTCAGAAGGGGTTCTGTGGAGATTTTAGAAATTTCAATAGTTAAATTCATGAGTCAATTGAAGCTAGACCACCATGGAAAACCTGGAAGTACTGGACGGCTGTTTCGTCGTAGCATGGGACTCCTCAGCAGTGCACATCCACGATCCCGCACCGGCTGAAAGGTCCAGTTGGTTAAGCGTCTGGCCTGAGACTGATAGGTCCTGGGTGGTAGTGGTCTAGCTTCAATTGTCTCATGATTTCAATCAGTGAAATTGATCTATGTATACATTTTTGACTTCACTTCTGTTTGGTTCATTAGCTAATCATTACAACAAACAATATGAAAAATTAGTCATCTTTTACTGATGTTTGTAGCATGGTTTATCTTTTACTGTAACTATAGATAGTAGAATTATGCTCAGTTAAAATCATATTTAGTTTATTCCTCATTACTAATGTCTTATAGAAACTATTCATTATGATAAAAGTTTCCATCACCCTTTGATCTCATTTCAATAACAGTTGAACATTAAATAGCATCAGATAAATATTTAGTCTTTATTTAAAACTATTAAGTAGTATTTAACCAGAACTGTTCATGTTTTCTTTGATTCATAAAATACTCGTCGATATAGAGTTCTATGTTAGAACTAAACATTTATCCAGTTATGCTTGATTGTTCAAAAATTTCCTTGAATAATCTTCAAATATTTTATAAAAACCAACGCTAAATTAAATTGCCGCGCAATGATTACAAACCAAAAGCAAAAAAATACATGCTATGTGATGGGAATCAACAAATATTATCAAACATCAATAATGTCAATTTTCCAATTAATTACCGGAAATATTCATTTTAAAAATTAATCATTTTATCATCAAACTGAGAAAAAAACCAAGGTGTTTATTTTGACATTATAATAAGTATAATTAATATGTAAACTGAATTAGGTTATTGAAATATTAGAAGTACATAATTTTCTGCCTATATTTCACTTATGAACCTGATTTCATTGTAAATGGTCCTTTAATATGAATTCGAATATCATTTTAAAGACTTGGTTAACATTGGCTACATAATCTATGATAGATATCTAAGCTAATGAATTTTATAGCATGGCTGGTTTTTATTCTATCTACAACCAAATAAACATATTTATAATGATATTCCTTTGGGTCGTTATTTTATCATTTTGGTGAAGTAGTCTTTCATATCTGCAGACTGATGACTATGTTTAGTTAACTACTAAGATAAGGATCTTAATAATGTAATTCATTCCACCTAATCTATTCAAAGCTTCAATGACAATGTTAACCAAGTATTAGTAACTTTCGAATAACCACTTCTTTTAAACGTCACATTTCACAAACATAAAGAAAAGCTAAGCAAAATACTGAGCTTTTACAAGCGGTGAGGATTATAAACTAATCTCGAGATTTTGCCAAACATCAAACTACATGGGTTATCAGGACTTTCAAGATAAGTGAAGTGGTTGACTTTCGCAACCATTTTATCTCCCAATACTACTGTAGGTATTGAACCTGACCGATTCTAATGAAACATTTTGAAGTTCGAGAGAGAAAAAATTATCTGTAAAGCTGGGTGACACAGCAACATTTCGCTCAAGATTACAGGTACACCTTGCTGACGAGTGCCGAATAGCACGAAAAGTAGTTCCAGGGTTTCGTGACGACTACCTGCGACTACAGTCTCATCTCAATTCAGTGGATGCGATGTCCAGTCACCTAGACTATGGGCCACTTTGTAACTTGGTCTATAGAATTTGATCTGCACTGAGGAGAACCTAATACGCTTGACATTGATCACTAACCGATGATCAATTAGTTACAAAACGTTTTAACATCCATCTCCAAGTTTCGAATTTCATTATCATTGTAAAAAGATAGTGTTCTATGTTTTTACTGAATTACAAAATTATTTGATAAATAACCAATTGACTTAACAATAAGGAAAAATCCCGGGAAAAACATAAGCACAAAAGACTGGAAGTGAAAAGAAATCATTAATTAGATGAAACCGATGAATATGAATTAGTAGACATAAATCTGAATTAGTAGAAGAACTATCTGGAACTAAACATATTAACAATATGATTAAAACTTATACATTTAGCAATGCTCTCGATAAATCAACTAATACTAACCATGAGTTACGAAAAACAAGATTATATGACAGCATACTCTCATTGAAATACTGCTAAACTAACAAACGAATGACAGTGAACTACTATTATATTCACTATATCAACCATCTTATTCATTAAGGACTTGTGAAGTTCTCAAAACTCATATGTGAGTAAGAATTATAAATTATCAAAAATACATCATCATTCCTGGTATCAGATCATCCGAATTTGTTTGTGAAAATTAAGTTTACATTCATTAAATTAACAAACGAATAAATTATACACAGGAGGTATTAGACTGTGGTACAACACATAGAACTATAAAGTAATGGAATCTCCTTACCATTTTAAACATTGCGATCTAGTTTTTTATATTGTTTATCTACCTAATTTGAAAATCGGTACTAATAAACCGCAATTGTTAACTCTTTAAACAATACCAAAAGATATATATTTTTTGTGACTATTGTTTTATTTCTATTTAACCTTAATCTTATTTATTCATTTTAATTAACACGTAGATATTGGCTCAAGAAGGCACCAAATACATATGCGCCACACAAATCTCATTTGATTTGTGCGAGAGCTGTGATACTGCTCGGGTGCCCAAACCGAAGCAGATGGTTTTCTTAGGGGGCCACTCCCGGAGCCTTCGGCCTGAAGAACTGATCCACAAGGCAGCGGAACAACGTAAGGAGTCTCAATCTCATGGTAGCCATTGATCAACGAATGGTTCATACGCCATTTGTTCCTTTAGGATACTGGAGCCCATGTGCAACATTGATTTGGATTCAGGGTTTTCCGACTCCCCTAGGTAGGCTCCCAATGTCCACCAACCCTGTTAAAGCGCCGAACATCCGCTTATCTTCCTCTCGAGTTCGTAAATAACACCCCCGCCACGAGAAGGCAGTGAGTAGGACTTCCCTGGCAGAGGCTATATACGCGTGGCCATGTGAGAGTATTTCAAGAGGGAGAGCTGACTCTCCCCACTCTCGGCTATACCTGGGCATTTGGAAGCTAACCTCAATCTAATAAAATATGTACGGTATTTTTAATAATTCAACTACATTTGTTGAATAAAAAAGAAAGATTGAGACATAAATGCTTCTTTATAAACATACTTTATTAACACATTAATAATATGATTATAATATATAAATTGATTGACATAACTTAGGTATATTATTTCCTAAATAAACAAATTCTTTATAAACAAACAAAATAATGATATGTTAATTTATATTTAAATAAACCAGATAATGTATCATTACAATTTGTCGATATACAACAGTTGTTCTTAGACCACCTACATAATTCCAACAACAACAATAACCAAAAACAAAATATGATTGAAATAAACAATTCGTTAAGATTCATCTAATGAAATATTTAAAATAATCATAGGTAAATATCTATATAAAGAAGTTAATTTATGTCAAAACTATCAATCATGAAATCTATGCATAATGGTTTAGATACTTTTTGAAATTATTCAATATAAGATTATAAAATGTTCAAGTATTAGAAGTAAGATTATTACGTACTTACTTACTTGCGCCTGTTTCTCCCAATGGAGCATAGGCCGCCGACCAGCATTCTCCAACCCACTCAGTCCTGGGCCTTCTTTTCTAATTCCATCTAATTCCTGTTCATTTTTCTCATGTCTATTTCCATTTCTCAGCGTAATGTGTTCTTTGGTCTTCCTCTTTTCCTTTGGCCTTGAGGATTCCATGTGAGGGCTTGTCTTGTGACGCAGTCGGGTGCTTTCCTCAATGTGTGTCCTATCCACTTCCAGCGCTTCTTCCTGATTTCTTCCTCCGCTGGGATCTGGTTTGTTTTCTCCCACAGTACGTTGTTGCTAATAGTGTCCGGCCAACGGATCCAACGTACTTTGCGTAGGCAACTGTTAATAAACACCTGTATTTTCTGGATGATGGCTTTCGTAGTTCTCCAGGTTTCTGCCCCATACGGTAGAACTGTCTTGACATTTGTATTGAAAATCCTGACCTTGTTGTTGGTTGACAGTTGCTTTGAGTTCCAGATGTTCCTCAGTTGTAAATATTCTGCTCTTGCTTTTCCGATCCGTGCCTTCACATCTGCATCAGATCCACCGTGTTCACCTGTTAATTGCTTATCATTACGGTAATGAAATGTTAGCTAACTAATTCTAAGTGGTTAATGTAAAACTGTCATAAAGATACATTTTATCAGAAATAACTGACAACTTACTGTAAAGATTCTAATATTGTGTTGACATACTATTTTTTACAAGTACTTAAATATAGTTTGAATCAACTTTGTTGAAACAGCTTCTCTTAGCATATTGTAGCCACTGAAGAGAAATATTTAAAAAAATTTTAATCTTTATTATTAATTACTTACTAATCTTTTAGGATGCTTCTTTCTACTTAAATAAAGTTTTATCTAATTTTCATCTTGTAATTCCACTTGTGCAACAATTTATTTCTGTTTTCATTATTTCGACTTATAGGGCATTAATTCTTTCAAAGATAAACTTTGTAAGTCGAACATTAATTAGATTGCTTATTAGTCTTTAAGGATTATCTCTACTAAAATTCGTAGACGCTACAATAGTTCTAACGTTTTTCTATCATTAATTATCCTTTGGAAATACTTCACATGAACTGATGAATTGAAAGGATGGAATGAACAAAGCTCCAAAATTAATGTTGACGGTTTCAATAATAGTTAAGAAACATGGTACACTTAAGAATTCCCTGTGGTAAGTTGAACTTGAGTTTAAAATTGCCTCATTATAACTCAATATAAACAATGTATACATATCAATCTAAGCTTTTTATCAACATAAGATCTCACAAATATTTGATCTATGACAATGGAGAATTATTACACATAGGAGGAAATCTACGAAATACCGATTAAAACATCGGTAGAACAGTTTCTTTTCAGTTAAACTATTTAAATTAAATAATTTTTTGTAATATACATACGTGTAGTTGAATTTCATTCAATAAAGAACCTCATTGTATATTTTTACAGATCGATTCCCATGGTCTTTTGAAAACAAACCGTATTATAGATAGAGAGTCCCAATCAATTTATCAGTTTACAGTTCTAGCTACTGATGGTGGAGTTCAGTTAGAAAACAGATATTTACCGGTAAATTATCAAATTGAAGATTATGAAGAAGAAATAAACGAAGTATCAAAACATAAAATAACATCACAAAATAAAAATAATATTCACACATCTGCAGTCACTGTACGCATATTAGTATCAGATCTGAATGATAATACTCCAATATTTGTGTATCCAAACACAAGTGTTTTTAAGGTGAGTTAATTCTCTTGAATAAAAATATGTTTAAATCATAAGCCTATCAATTTTAGAAACATAATTTTTTCAGTATTATTATTGAATTCTCTTCCTGACATGGTTACGACACCCAAAACACGATAAGTAACGACCCATATATATTTTGTCTTCTGACGTTTCGTGACTTAGTGTAAGTCACTTCTTCAGAGAATAAATAACCAAATTAGAATTAATCCAAGTTTAAATAATACAACGGAACAATAAGAATAATATTTGACTAATACCCCATTAGCTCGATTTCATATTTATTTTGTTTCATTATTTAAATAAGTTAATTAGTCATTAGACTATGATCATTAGATAAGTTTCTTAAGTCGTAGATTGTTTTGTTCTTTTCATTTTTATTTAAGTTATTCAGAATGAGATAAGCAAACAGTTTCAATATTTCTTAGTCATTTAAATCTTACATCCTTTGGAATTTCAAATTGTAGGTAATCCATTTTCTGTTGAAAAAATATGTCTGCAGTTAAATTCATGTGAATTATACAGAATGAAAAATATGATACAAACACTTCTATGAAAGGAATTTCTAGCTCTTCCTATGCTTTATTTGTTACATAAGAAGGATTTACTTATCTTTCAAGTCACTATTAAACATAAAACTATTTTCAGGTTATTTTTGTTGTACTTTACAATAACGATAAACTGAATAAATAAAATGATAAATGAATGTCATGTAGAACAAAAGACTAAACACCATCATATAAATAGTTTCTGGTTATAATGGAGTAAGTTTCTTAATGCAGATCATTGTAAGAAAAACGAACTCTATTGAAATTGTCCCTATTATGTATTTCATTTTTAAATGACCGGTGATCATACTGATTGTTTTGAAACATTTACAGCTTTAGTGATTTCATCTTGATCAAGATGTGGGTAATGCGTTTTTTAGATATGCGGTTTTATGTATTGGAAAACTATATAATATTCAAACAAATAGTGCTGATAAATTTCATTCACAAAAAAAGATTTTCTTGCTCGTAAGCCTGTAAAGCTTTCATTATACTACTTGACAACATATAAATGTCTATACTCTGTATGTGTATTCTAGGATGTGTATTGTAACTATATTGAACGTATACAGTATTTACTCAGACAATAAATTATTCTAAGCAAAGATGGAGACTGATCAATTGTGGTCGTACACATCAATGGGAGGAATCAAACAAACAATACGAAATGAATAAATTATTCTATATTTTATAGTATTGTATCTCAAAAATACAATCACTTATGCCAAGCTAATAAGCACAATTTCATTAGCTCATTAACGTAAGACTTAGGTGCTTGTCATCTTCAAAAATGTGAATCCAAACTCCAAACATATCACTACTCTTATTTTATTTAGTTTGTTAACAGTCATTTGCTCTTGCATCGATAATCAGCATCATACAAACTTTGGACAATGAATAACTGAACGAAAATAAAAATAACAAATAACAAATATATTTAAACAGCTTAAATTATCAAACTACATTTTTATGCTTTCTTCCATGCTTTAGAACACAATAGTTTATCAACAATATGAAATTCAGTATATAAGTTCTTGAAAGTTCCTTTATTACTACTCATACATCTTTCTAATTCATACTTGTCAGCATGAATCTTAGTCTTAAACTGTTGTGAGCCTTGACTTCCAGTTAACTGAAAATGTACTATGTATTTAGGTAGTTGATATATATGTATATAAGTTAAAATTCAGTTGTATTTTGTGTATAATCACTGGCTCTTTTCACAGACATTATTTTATGCTTATAACACTTACGTCACAAACAAATGTTGATATCGGTTTTTAAGGGATGATCGTTCAACAGACGTTCGTGATAAATATTATATCGTCATTTATGAAAAAAAGGAAATATATCAATTGGTGATGATGAAATGTAGATTCGGTAGTCTCATAGTTATTTGTTTTTACAAATATCGTAGACATTCTTGCTGATTTTTGAAAAAAACATACAAATAAATGAGTGCCTTTATTTATATTAAAACAATGCAAATCGATCTCAAACTTCAAAAGTTATTTCATCTATTCTTTATACTTAGTCTTCTTTAAGTTCGTTCTACATTCACCAATAACTTCAGTTGTAAGTAAATCTATAGATTCAGTCATATATATTCTATTCAGCCTTACTCGAAGAAAACAGTTTTGTTTCTAATATATGTTCGAAATAGCATCAATTAGTACATGTATGGTATTTTTATTTTATTTGAACGTAAATATTGGTACAAAGGGGCACTGAATATATATACGCTAATTTATGTGTGGGTTGTGACACTGCCTAGGTGCCCACACCGAAGAAGGTGGTTTTCTTAGGAGGCCACTCCCGGAGCCTTTGACCTAAAGGTTTGATCCACAAGGCAGTGGAGAAACGTCAGGAGATGCAGTCCCATGATAGCCAGTGACCAATAATTGGTTCACACGCCATTTATTCCTTGAGGATCATGAAGCTTATGTGCACCATTGGTTTGTAATCAGGGTTTTCCGAATTCCCTAGGTTGATCCTCCATATCCACATGTATAATAAAGATATATATTTAAGATAAATGAACTTGACAAAGAGATATACATTATAGTTATTTATTTTAATTTCTTGCGAACTACTTGGTCTCAGTGACATGTAAACTAAACTTAAATCTAATTAAAAATGTACAACAAACAGAAGTTATCAGATATTACTTTTTTAAAACAATCAAAATAATATTTATGTTTTTGGTTAACCATATTAATTGATTAAATTTTTTATTTCCTTATGACAGAATATGTCAAGTTGGATATTACCTAATTCAAAATTATCTTGAAATAATAATTCCACACAACATTCCTGTTGCTATGACAGAATTTTATAAAGTTACTCATTATTCACATGCTAAATATTTTCTTTTTCTAAATAAAGCTTCCTATAATATATCTAATTGAACTGTTTCATTTCTATTAGAAACATTGTTCTTGTCAAACGTCATGTGGAAAAGTAGATGTAACAGACTTACTTACTTACGTCTGTTACTCCTCGTGAAGGAGCATAGGCCGCTCACCAGCATTCGCCATCCAACCCCGACCCGAACAATCCTTTCCAGCTCTTTCCAATTGTTATTCATTCCTTTCATATCTGCTTCTATTTCCCGACGTAATGTGCTATTCGGCCTTCCTCTTTCCCGCTTCCCTTCAGGATTCCAAGTTAAGGCTTGCCTCGTGATGCAGTTTGATGATTTGCGTAATGTATGTCCTATCCATTACCATCACCTTTTTCTAATTTCCATTTCAGCTGGAAGCTGGTTTGTTCTCTCCCACAGAAGGCTGTTACTGATGATATCCGACCAATGGATGTTGAGTATCTTGAGTAGACAACTATTTATAAATACTTGTACCTTCTTGATGATGGTTGTAGTAGTCCTCCAAGTTTCAGCTCCGTACAGTAAAACTGCCTTGACGTTCGTATTGAAGATTCTCATTTTGATATTGGTTGAAAGCTGTTTTGAGTTTCATATGTTCTTCAATAGTGGGAATGCGACACTTGCCTTACAAATCCTCGCCTTTACGTCTGCATATGATCCTCCTTGTTCATCGATGATGCTTCCCAGGTATGTGAAGGATTCTACATCCTCCAGAGTTTCGCCACCAAGTGTGATTGGATTGCTGTTCTCCGCTTTGAATTTGAGGACCTTGGTTTTCCCCTTGTGTGGGTTGAGGCTTACTGATGCAGAGACTGCTGCTACACTGGCTGTCTTTATCTGCATTTGTTCGTGTGTTGGATAGGAGGACTAGGTCATCCGCAAAGTCCAAGTCGTCTAATTGATTCTGATCTGTCAATTGTATGCCGTGTTTTCCCTCGGATGTCGAGGTCTTCATAATCCAGTCGACCACCAGAAGAAAGAGGAAGGAGTAGACAGCTTTTTCAGACTGCAGTCCTTACTTGGAATGCATCTGTGAGCTGTCCTCCATGCACGGCCTTGCACTGTGATCCGGCTTATGAGTTACGGATAACGTTGACAATCTTCTCAGGAACTCCGTAGTGTTGAAGAAGTTTCCATACCGTCCTCCTATTTACACTATCAAATGTTTTTTCATAATCAATGAATTTTATGCATGGTGATATAACAAAGTTATACTGATAATAGTTTGTTGTCATTATTGAAAAATCTAAACTCACTAATTGAAATCTGTTTAATTTTTTTTTCGAATAGATATACTACAAATAATGCAATATCAAAACTAACATTTAGAAATTAATAATAAACTTATTCATTATATGTATTTCTTAATTTCAAGGTTCGACTTTCTGTACATGAAAAAAAAGGATTTATAGTAACACGATTAGTAGCTGTTGATAAAGATTCAGGTCGAAATGGTGAGATACATTACAGTTTACTTAAAGGTGATCCCAAACATATATTTGGATTACGTCATGATACAGGAGAGATAATTGTAACAAATACTATTCAAAAATCTAAAGATGCAAGTACAATATTTCAGTAAAGCTTATAATATTTGTTTTCTATTTTTCATGATTAATTCAAAGATTTATCAGTCCAGTTTATTTCTGTCATCTAAGCATTTATCTTCCTGAGAATTTACTGGATGCGCACTGGTAGGTAGTCTCATAATAGGATGAAATAGATGTTCAATGATCTCAGATTTTTTAGTGTTGGCTTACATCATGTTAGTTTTCAAGCATAACAACATTCAACAATATCCACAACCCTTATATTTATAAATTTTGATGGATGAAAATGTTCAATAAATGTACCAAACATATTATAGACAATGATTAAGACGCATTGAAAACATGTGTTCATTCAGATACATTTATTAATTCAATGGAATTCATTTTGCACAGCAATAAAGAAATAATAGAAATGCAATGTTCATGATTGAAAACCTACAAAATGCTGATTCAGTGATTTATATTTAGAAATAACAATAACGAAACACTGGGTAGCTACAGTTAAATTAGTATCCCATGAACAGCTTATTGGAATGAAACAAGCACTACTAGCATTCACTAGCCCTATTTACCAATAATCTTCTTATCACAAGTTAAATTAGCTTAGTTATTGTAGTTGACTGAAATCACGAAGCTAATTTTATTTTAATGGGTCAGTCACATTCTTGAATTCATTCGCTCCATGTCGTAGCGCAAATAGACTTTAAGATTATAAATGAGCATTCTACTGTGCTTCATTTGTAACGAAGTAACGAAATTGTATCATTCTGTAATTCCTTAATACCATAAAATAGAATGACTTCACTAATGTGTAATGAATAACTTTAAAGTTATCTTAATATGAACTTGTAAATTTTAATTTTTCTGAAAGTGAATTTTGCTTACTTTATTAATGAATTACTAACCTACTCCTTCATTATTTGTGCAATTAGGTTCCCACAATTTTATCGATTCAAGCATCAGATCGTGGAGTTCCACCGAAATCTAGTAAAATAGATGTTCAGATTATTATCACTGACTCACCACCAATTGGTAGAAGTCTTGGTACACTTGATGAATATCAGTTGGCTAATTTAAAATCACTTGGATTAATTGGTATCACCGAAGTGGATAATACTGGAGCTGTTGAATTGAATAAACTAATCATGATGTGTATTGTTGTGTCAACAGCCATATTATGCATTATATTGATTGTAACTATTGGAGTGTTTGCTAAACGTACAACTTGTAAAAATATTTTCAACTCAATAAAACAACGTCAATCTGTAAAAATGAGAAAGACAAGAGGAAAAAGTAACGTTCCTGATGTTATTTGTAAAGATAATGATGACGATATTAATCAGCCGGATGAACTTCAAGAAGAGATGAAAAACCTTAAAGGTATGTTATATTACGGGAACTTTTGTGATTCATCAATACGGATTCATAAATTTGTTATGAGCTATATTTGATAGTCAGCTTGTGGATTTTATTCTAGTTTTAAATTACGTTAAGATAGATTCAAATTTATTTTGCTTCTCTAGTTGGTTTTTAATGCAAACGTTGTGGAAAATATCCTGTAAATTCATGCTTTCAGAACATATATATGATAGAATAAATGTCATTTAAGTATTGTATATTTTCAACGTTTTAATAATTGGTCAATGGAGACTGTCTATATTATGTTTATTGGAATAAGAAGGAAGCTTATCACTTGATAGTGTAAATATATATTGTTACTGCTTTTCTGAATGTTTCCATATGATTGAAAAATACAAATTAAATGGATAATTATACAAATGAAAGGGTGATCTATAGTTTTCTGTAGTTTTGAGAAACATTGGTCAAAGATTCAAGTGTAAATAATAAGGTACTATAACAACAGAAGACTTTAGGGAAAATGAATTCACTGGGGATTGTTAGTAAGATAACACTGCCATACTCGATATGTTCATTTGATCCTAGCTCACTTTTGATCTACTAGTTAATTTAGACAATTTATTCATAAGTAAATCGTTGTTTGTGTAGTACCCAGTACCGAATCTCACAACTTATTTCACATGTAAGATAGACTTAGAGACTGATTTTAAAACTATATAATCTTATGCTGCCAGTCTACAAAATGTTTCTGTCGGCAACCCAGGTGCTAGGTTTGAAGCTATTATGAGTTCAGTTAGTATGCGAATGGAACAAAGACTTGTGACCGTAGACCAATAAGCTAGCTATTCGATGCGTCCCAGCCCCGCTAACTAGAGGAAGATGTCCAAGCTTGGAACGGGAAAGTATATCCTGTAAGCCAGAAGCACGAGTGAATAATAACAGACACAAATCAAACGTATATATATAGCATAAAACTGTCCTTGGGAAGCGTAGCAGAAATAGCAAATTAAAAATACACAACGGACCAATAGGGTCAAAGATTCTCCCAAGTGGGAAATACGGCATGAAGGTGAAAAGTGCGCTCTTGTTGCAAAAACAAGGAAATTTAAATTTTCAAAATAAAACTACAAAATTAAGGCATTTACCAAGTAAGTTCTGTGGATCTAACATCCCCAACATCAGGAATAGGTACACACCGATAACAATTATAAACATATTCCAGCCAAACTCTATGTCACTAGCTCTTATAACTAAATAAGAATAAACGTGGTTCAATCGGTAGAAGAGAAAAAAGTAATAGGTAATGTTTTATTTACACCAGCAAATCACTGATATCTCTGCATACACTGACTTTAACAAGTTTAATTTACAACAGTTAATAATCTGGTTTAAAATATAATCATCTGATTACTACTTGCCACTTATTAATCAGTTATTCATGGTATCGATATAATTAATAATATTGCAATTTTCAACCTCTGAAAACACTAAATAAAGCTACTCTACTGAGTTGTGAATTTATTTCACTCTAACATTAATCTTTTTAGTGAAATACATGTGATCAAATCTACTGTTGGAAATCGAATTGAATACCGTATTGTTACTTCGTACCAGAAACAGTGCTGTAATTTCATAATATTTTTTCCATCTAACAGTAGTTAACGACAAAAACATTTGAATTTTTATTTATACTGTATTAGAATGTGATTATTTTTTATTTAAATATGTGACTAAATAACTAGGTATATCAACCAGTTAAGGTCAATAAATAGTTTGACAGCAGTTTTCATTAGTATGAGGATTTTCGATGCAAATGACAATGCAGTAATGTGTATTTTATTACGTAATATGAGTCCAATTCAAGTACATTTGTGCATTGCAATTTAATTTATTTATTATTATTATTACTATTAATATGTTTGTTAGTTTAACCAAAGAAACTCTTCATTTGTATTAATATTTATCGAGATGTTTGTGTTGTTTCCCTCTTTTCTTTTTTATAGAAAAGAATTCAATTGAATTCTGTGATGTTTTATCTCATGTACAATATAATCATTATCAAGAAATGGCACAAAAAAGTTCACTTATTCCTAAAACACCAAATACCCTAGCTAATGCAATCAAACTCGATCATTTACTTCAATTTGTTAAAGATAATAATAATAATAATAATAATATTGTTACTGGGGATAGTGATCTTTATAATAATAATAATAATAACACTAATGAAGATACTTTTTCTAAATCTACATTAACAAATTTACACTGTGATAATATATGTTCACCTGATATAAGTATCAGTTTACCTTCTTATACAAAAAATAATTTTACTAATGATACATTATTTATGGGACATTTAGAATGTAATCGTTTAATTACTACAGAAGTAAGTATGAATTATTAATATTATTATTATTTCTGAATGAGATATATGATCTTTTACTGATTATTTCAAGATGTTGCTATGTTTACTAATCTCATATTGAATTTAATGAGTTGAAAATGCTCATTCAATTATATTGTGGTGGTCCGTGGATCTGACTCCAATTAGATCGTATGAATGTTTGTTATCGCCTATTATCGTATACAATCGTCGACTAAAATCGCGTTAGTCAATAACGGAATTAAATAAGTCGAATAAGGAGAATGGACTTGTAAATACATATATTTTGTATATAAAGCGAATGGAATAGAGAGAAGAGAAACGACGCAGAGTGGAGATGGCTAGTAAGCCAACTCCCCTTTTACTCAAGCGTTAATCAATATTTATAGTTACACACAAGTTACAGACATGTGATGAGTAATGGGATAAGAAATATACATACACATATGCGCTCATATAAAAACAGTCAAGATTGATAAGCGAATAAATAACAAGGTCAGAATGTAACTCAAGTAGAATGAATAGATTGGGCTGTCCAAAGGCCAAAATGAGGTATATGGGCTTAACATAATAACCGACACTACAAGATCTTTGATATAATAGTTCTTTAAACTATAATCATATGTCATTCCATACATACTTGAACTAATCCAATATGCTTTACTATCTCATATATCTTTGTAAGAGTTATGAAATAGAATGATAATAAACTTCAAATCATTCTGTGAGGAACTAAATTTGATTCACCTTTTTTTCTTCAATAGTAATATTAATTAAAATTCTATTCAATCAATTCTCGTTAAAATCTGTATTTATTGGAATATTTGCTTTACAAACTGTTATACCTCGATCAGTTATAATTAGTGAGATTATTTCATACCAAATAGTTTATCAAATTTGCATTCTTTATATTAATTTATGAACAAATATACAAAATTAATTTTTCAAGCGTGTAGACATTGCCACAAGTTCTTTGAGTCATAATTTTCCAGACGAGATGATCGTATACAACCATAAACTATCTGTACATTTGAAATCATGAGTCAATTAAAGCCAGATCATTATTGTAAATAATTGGAACAATGGGTGGCTTTTTTGTTTTAGTACGAGACTCCTCAGTTGTATGCATTCATGATCTTTCATACTGGACTCAAACTTAGGATCTTCAGCCTCGCGCATTATCTGTTTAAGTCGGTTATCATACTACATTCTTTCACTACCATCGGAGATTTATGCAGTTGATAATCAAAAAGGTTACCATATCTTTAATTGATACACAGATAAAATCATTTGCAAAAAAGCTCTGGACCATGGTTTTGTGTTTGTTAGCATAAGCATCAAAATGAGTCTATAGTCTTAAGTTGGTCGATGTTTCACTTGCTGTTCCAATCAGTTACCGTCACGGCTGGCAGAGTTATTACTCAGCTAGTTCAGCGGTAACTAACAGAGCAATAATAATAATATTCGCTGTATTCTTAACTAATTATCAAAATGTTAAATTCTTTATTTAGTAAGTCTTTAATTCAAAGCAACTAGTAAACGTCTTCAAATCATACAGTACACAAACAGTGATGAGAAGGATAAATGCTCAATATTTTAACATATGAAATCAAACTATGAATTTCAATTTTCTGATTGAGGTCATGAATACATTGGTGTTAGACCACCATTGGAAACCTGGAAGTACTGGAGAGCCGTTTCGTACCATTTAGGCACTCCTCAGTAGTGCGCATCCACTATCTTACTCGAGGGATTCGAACCCAGGGCCTTCAGTCTCGTGCGCGAACGCTTAATCTACTGGACCACTGAGCCGGCATCTAATGGCGTTGGTGTCTGACATCAACCAATCCACGAAATTGCACGACCATCTCCCATTGTACTGAGTTAGATACCTGTCTCTACCCAACACCGATTAGCTCCACTGGTCACGGCTTTTCACTAGAACTCTGAGAATTTTCTCACGAAGCTAGTCACTGGTGAGCACACATGTTAATTATCATTATCCAGGACTCAAATATAATCCTATCTCTCAATTAAAATCTGAAATCACAATTTATTTTGATCGATTACTTCTCTTTTGATATAAAATTTATCAGCGGTAAATCAGTTTCAATAGAACATTAACGTTATAAAATTTAATTAGTCCAATAACACTGTGCTACTCCTATAGTGAATTTGAACGCCAGTGGGAACAATTAAATGTATCTGAGTACAAAATTACAGAGCATCTCACTAAAATCTGAGAATCATATGGTAAATCATTAATTTGCAGAATATCGATCCATCGTCTCAAACTTGACTGTTCTTGTTGCAAACATCAATCCATTGTCTCAGATTTCATTGTTCATGTACTTTCATACCAATTGCGTTCCGTTCCCGTTCTTTCCTCATCGAACTTCTACTGAAATACATTCTATGCCTGACCACCGTTGCAAACTACTTATGTGGATATAAGTAACCCACACCACACTATGTTGTATGAATATAAATTCTAATATTCATCTCGAAATGTATTTTTCATAATAATCAGTAATATATATAATTAACTAATTAAAGTGAATTTAGCAATCATTACTAACATCTATTCAGTTAAATACCAAGTTAACTGTAAGGATTGAATCGCTTAAAACATGAAGTAATTAGTGCAAATAAGATATTGTCCATTGTCAATATTAACTGAATTTAAATAAAAAGTACCTATTAAACATTTTATAATGAATATTTTGTTGTAGTTCACTGTCGAATGAAATTGCAATGGTTAGATGAATTTCGTGATCTATTAAAGATCATTTACAAAATCGTCATGGTTGTAGTGACTGTGCTTCGTTGACCAATCACTCTCGTAACCGTTACCATATAATCTTCAACGGTGTTTGAAAACAGAAGGCAAAGAGAAGCAGCGACTACAGTTTTATTAGCAGATAACTCAGGTCACAGAGCAGTGAGGCGAAGGAATGAGTCAGCGAACCGAGAGTGTGTAGGGTGTAAATGTACATGTATATATATAACGAAATGAATGGATCATCTAATCAATTAAGCAGCTAATAATAAACTAGCAGTAAGCAATGTTGAACATGCATATTTCATACAAGCACAACAATAATAAAGGTACAATAAGTTGTAATAGTACGAATGACTTTCTCCGCTAAATAAGTTAACAAAAGGGTTTAACTGAGTTAAATGAGAAGAAACTCAATTGCACGTGAGTTGGTATATGATATCAAATAAAACAACTTATCAAATAGAAGTTGAAATACACATTTAATATACTTTATTTGTACAAATATTTAGATAGATTATTATTCATATTCTGAAGCAATAAATGAATTTCCAAATATGTCTATGTGTAAAGTAGTAACCATTAGTATTTATACATAAATGACATTTTCCTATGATTCATTGTATGATTATTTCACAGGATAATTGCTGTTATAGACCCAGGTAATGAAGTTAATAATATGCTAAACATATATAGTATTTGTAGTTTATACATTATCTTTCGTATGCAAACTGTATTTCTCTAAAATAAGAAAGTTCCTTCTTGACACATTCATAATAAGAAAATTGTCACTGATATTTATATAGGTTATAAGATAGATCTCATACCCAAATCAGTGATAAAGTATCTTATATGCTTTTCATACATTAATTTTTGCTGTTTATCTTCCTGGGAAATTAAAGCATTGGATACCATTACCTTCTACTAAGATTTTTTTATCACAGTTTATTTTGTCTATATTTTCCAAAATAATGTATCATATACATAATGCATGATGCCAGGATTAAATTAAATGTCAAATAAGATGTAATATACTGTAATCGTATATCTCAAACGTATAGTTGAATTAAAATGTTAATCACATTTTTGGTATTAAATTAGAATTTAGTTACCGCTACATTCTCTGTTTTACATATACACAATTTCGTCTCTAAGCAACCAATCTTTTTTTAGGAAATATTATTATATGCAAGAACCAAATTTTTTAAAAAAGTACAAATCTTGTGGTTTTCCTTCTGTATATCGATAATACCTTTAATTTAATCACTTTGGCTTATAATGAAAAAACGAAGCAACTATTGCCTAGTTTTGGTGGCAATCATTTTTAACTCCAGAAAATAACATTCTGATAATGTTTCACTCTCTCTAAATAGAATGGTTTATTATCGAGAACTTTGCCGACTGTAAATTACGATCAATTTTAAAATAAATGGGATCACAATTGTTAACCAAAATCAAATATATTTTTATTGTCAGTATTGATAAGTGTATCATGTTCTAAATAGATCCACATCAGTTTTAAAATGCTTAGAGCTTTCATATGGAGAATTTGTTTAAGTGGTATTTAATAGCTTGAACAAGATAAAAGAGCTCTTTCCTAACTATTGTCCATTAGATGAATATACTTAGTTCACACGCTAAATATAAAAAAACTCATTCTGTTCATTGGTTACCAGAACAAAAAAAGCATTTTAACCAACATAATATTCTGTTATATAACTAAGCTCTAAAAATGTAAGTGAAACCAGTGAACTTTAAAAAAAATACTTAGTTGATACATGTGAATAATAAGCTTTCAAGTCAGAAAATATCCTGTTACATTTCTGATTAACAAACAAACTAATGGATTCAAAGTTGCAACCTTATTACAAAGCATATTGTGCTATGTACAAAAATTACATCTAATAATTGAATTCATGAATCAATTGACGCAAGACCAACATGGAAAACCTGGAAGCACTGGACGGTCGTCTCATCCTAATATTGGACATCCAGCAGTGCGTATCCACGATCCCGCATCGCGAGATTAGAACCCATGACCTTTCAGTCTCGTGTGCAAACGCTTAACCTTTAATCGATTCAACTTTCGCTTAACTCTACATCTAGATCAAAGCTGTCTATATGATTTTGAATCTAAATATCTTAAGAAGTTTAACATTGAGCTTATAATTGTCAATCGAATTTTATTACTTTTTAGTGAACCTCCACAAAAAACACTTGTTTCTAAACAGATAAAGTAAGGATTTGCATTTAGTTTAGTTTACTGATGTTAATCTAGTCCATGTGTAATCTGATAGTTGTATTTTATTAAAAAATATTAAACCATTGACAATATGGGATAGTTTGATTTGTATAGTGTAAACATCTGATCATTTAAAGATCAATACATTGTTGAATCGTTTCATAAACCTGAAACAATAATACTAAATCCCATGCAGTATTTTAATAGATTATCTTAATTAACCTTCATTACTTAATAAAATAACCTAACAGTTTTGACTTGCATTATTATACAATAATGAGGTTTTTTTCTTTATATTATTCCATAGTATAATTATTTCTTCCAAATAGTGTCAGTGATGTCGTCCGGTTACTAGAAATGTTAAATTTGCACTGATATTTTAATTAATCATGTTACTATAAGGTTTTGATCAAAAGCTTGGTTAAATAATCTTAATTTTCTCTTCAAATTACACATTACGAAATAATTATGTTACAAACTTATGTCGATTTTTAAGATACATGATATTTCTATGAAAATACATTTTTAAAATATTGGAACTAACTTTTTCTTCCAGTTAAATAATCTATATAATCCAATTCTTAATAAGTCTCTGTTTTATATTATCATACATCATCACTATGAAAAGTAAGAGAGAGTATATTATTCCAAATGAAGACCAATTACAAAACATTTTCTTAACGACTAAGAATGTAGAATTGATTGATCACTGGTTGGTAATCATTGTCATGTGCGTCATGTCCTTCTTAGCTCAAATTGAATGCTACAGACCAAGTTGCAATGTGGTCACTAGTCTAGATGACTTGACATTGCGTACACTATCTTATTTAATTAGTAGATATTATTTAGACAAATAAATACCATTAAAAGTATTAGTTTATTATAAACATTACTGTTGCAAATAAGTTACTTGATTATTAAATGACTTAAATTATCATTAGATTAAAGTGGTTTTTAATAGAGGCTTTTCGTAAATTATGTTTTCTTTCTTTAACTATAACAAGAATGCTTACAATAATATTATTCAACAAATTTAATGTAACTCTATAGATAAAAAGTCTACTTATAATGAGTAGGTTTTTGTTTTAAATTAGAAAAGATAATAAAAACTGTGTTTATTACCCAAATATTCAACAAACAAAAAACAACAATCTCTCTTTTCTTTGCCACTTCTTCTAAGAGCTTTTAATAATCACACTGTAAATCTAAAAAAATAGAGACAACTTCTATTCAATATTATAAAAATCAATAATTTAAAGAGATTTATAGTGGTTTATTCTCATCAAAACCAGAATGTAATATCTTCTTTACAAGATCTTCTATCAATATGACACAATATAATTATATTCTAGTAAAATTTTAATTCTTTCATCATATGCATATGAACAATATATTTCTATTGGGATAGCAAATAATATTGTGTTAAACAAATAATACAAAATGTATGGTATTTTTTAATGTACCTTTGGTAATTCATAGAAAAGAGAACCTGTCAGAAATTAATTTAGACTGGCTAGAATTCATAAAAAATCCAAAATATATATCCATAAAAAACATTTATTTTGTTTATAAATGAAAGAAAAAAGTAAACATTTTAATAGTTGAGATCGTGAGTTAATTGAAGGTAGACCACCATGGAAAACCTGGAACCACTGGAAAGCCGTGTCATCCTATTGTGGGACTCCTCAACAATGCGCATCCACGATCTTGCTTCGCGAGATTCGAACCAGGGACTTATTGGTCTCTCAGGCAAGTGCTTAATGTTTAGATCACTAAGCCGACATCCAGTGGTGTTAATGTCTAACTTCAACTAATCCACGAAACTGCTCCACCACCCATCATTGTCTTCACAACAGAAAGTAAACTAACGAATGAAATTATATGTAAATAAAAACTGAAATGGTTAGTTGTATTGCAGTTTATGTGTTAAAAAATTTTTTTTGAGCTTTTTGACAAATTTACCTTTCACAGATTGAAATCATGAGTCAGTTGAAGCTAGACCACTATTGAAAACCTGGAAGCACCTGCTTCAAATGACTCATGATTTCAATCTGTGAAATTTCTAGAATCTTCACAAAACCCATTCTGAAAATTTACCTTTATCGTCAGTTGTAAACAAAAAATTGCCATATACTTCTGTTATTAAAAAAATCACATCATATGAAACCATGTTCTGTAGATTTAAAAAATTGTTTTGGATAATTTAATCTGATTGTGTTATATCCCACAGAGAAATATGAATGGTAACTCTTAATAACTATTCATGGATAAATATTGTGTCTATTCTTAATGTATAACTAACTATTCAGTAGACAGATTATGTATAACTATACTCCTCTTATTATATGCTTCACTTTGACTCATAAACTATTATCATATGACTTATCGTTCGTGAGTTATGCCCAGTCTACTAATGACAGTCTTCCATGTTCACAGACATTTTTGGCCAGATTTTGTTCAAATGTTATCCTCTATTTTGTCGTATGATGTGATCAGTTTAATTTGTATATAAACCTAGTATGTTTGGAATACATTATTCATATCGTAGAGGTTGAGATTGGTATTCTGAACATAAGAGGCAGCGCTAGGCATGAAGCAGAACCGATAAGGACTTAAGGTTGCTCATACAGGTTTACGTGCCATTGATCCGGCCGATAAATCACTGTTCTCTAATTGGCGATGTTATTACGTTATATATTAATCTGTCACAAGGCCAACAATTTATAACAGACTGTAACTTTACAATGATTAATATGATTTATTGTATGAATTTTCTTACATTATCAAATGATATAGTTAAATTACTTGTTGTACGAGAAGTCATATCTTTTTATATCTATTATTAGTTGAAGTAAACATTAACTGATATGAAGTCCACAAAGACTAGATCAAAGTTTATTTTCCGTCCAATGAGACAAAGTTATTATATTCCACAGCGATAATTGAAAGAGCTTAATACATATAGTCCAGTAAGATATCGATAATAATAAAAGTAATGGATAGACAGAAATTAAAAATAGTAATTTTCATACTTGAATTAAATATTCGAAATGCATTAATCATTAACTATTCTTCATTCATCTACGCAAAATGTTTGTCATTCGTTTCAGCAATATTTATATTTATTTTTTGGTTTATTATTTATATTTATATTTAAATGATTAATTCATCATGAACATAGAAATACAAATAGGTGTAAATGTCAAGTCTATTGTGCATGCCTATGCATAAATGTACATAGATACATATATTCCTATTCTGAGTTTTGTTTTAACATTCATGAACACTATTTAACAGTGTAAATTTTCTAATTGATAATCTATTGAAGATAATTGATGAGTTTATTGTTATTTATAACTTAGAAGTAATACTAATCTATCAAATCAACGACAACATTATCATTAGTAATACACCTATATATATGAATATAATTATCAAACTATATTTAGAACTAGACTAAATCCTATCAATGACATATAGTTCTTACAATATCTGCTCTCTCTCTCTCTCTCTTGAAATGAGAAAGAAACCACGACATATGAAATATAAGCTGATTCGATAGAATAAAACTTGAAAAATAATACATCTACTTTGAATTTTTTGAGCCAGTAATAGTTTGCGTTAAAATTTCAGATTATTGTTTCAATGAGAGTAGCTTTTTTTAAAGAAGAATAAAATAGTTCAAAACTTTGATAAGCTGAAACTGAAGTTTTCATTTTAAAAAATGTACTGAAAAACTGATAATTTCTTACAATAATAAATGTATTACTTCATGAATCATCTAATTTTACGATGTGATAGCAATGGTTAAATTCAGAAATGCTATCCAGAACATGAATATTTTATTGTAACTAAAGTTTGTTTCATAGTCAGAGAGGGGTTTTGTGGAGATTATTGTAATTCAATAGTTGAATTCATAAGTCAATTGAAGTTAGATCACCATGGGAAACCTGGAAGCACTGGACAGCCGTTTCATCCTGTAAGTCTAGGAAATATCCGGCTTGTAGTCAGCCATTAAATTTTCAAGAGCTTTTTCTTCGTGATTTGATTCATAGTCTACTGGACCAAATATAAAATACTCGTTTGATTGCTGGAATTCTAGTAAGAAGCCGTTACTAATGGAGTTCAACCGGATCTGTTGTGAGATAGTAACTTACTGAAGTCAATAGTAGACAGTGGTGCGATTTCGTGAATTGGTTGAAGTTAGACATTAATACCGTTGGATGACGGCCCAGTGGTTTAAACGTTAAGTGTTCGCACGCGTAACTCATAGATATTGGTTTCGATTCACGCGAGGAGGGGAGGTGGATGCGCAATGTTGAGGAGTTCCACAATAGGACGAAACGACTTTCCAGTGCTTCCAGGTTTTCCATGGTTGTCTAGCTTCAACTGACCCATGAATTCTATTATTAACTTATGTAATAGGTATGAAAATATTCATTGCAGTCACATTTTATCGATTGTTTAGAGTAAATGATTAGTGCAATTTAGAAGTTCAACCTTATTTTCAAATCCATGAATGCTGTTAAAAGAAGCGGGACTAAATTATTAGGAAATTTTATTCTTCATACCTAAATTCACTCATATTGTTATAGTCTTACAATTTTATAAATTTTTTAAATTGGTGGTAAATTATCTATAATATTCTTTGTAAAAATCCGCGGCAAACAATATGGAAGTATAGCGGGAAACCTTCAGGTATTTATTTGTTTATCCACAAATGCTATATATTACTAAGATATAATATTCTTTTTACGCTACATTTAATATATATTTGTTTTTGTTTTTATCGATTAGAGCGGTCGAGAAACGCATAGTGAACGTTTGCCGACTTCAGTTATAAATTCTGTTCCATACATATCCTATACGCAGGATGCAGTGATGACTCTCCCTCATGTATGTGCTATTCATGGAGCACCAGGAACTGCAATGAAGCTTCTCGCTCTTCCATTAAATGATTCATCATACCTTGGTTGCTCTGAAATGAACAGAAATCTCTGCACCTCGTCATTGAATGACGCTCCTGTAATTGATTCAGATGTCGATTCTGGTCGTGGTGGCAGTGTAAATAATATTGGTAGTTCACCAAACAGTGACCAAATTACTCTAAATCACAATGTTTCTTCCCGTAAACCAAATGCTACAGTATTCCCGGTTCATTATGTCACTGGTAGTCTGAATTTCAGTTTAATTCCAGTATCTGTAGCCACAAGTTTAAATTTAACTCCATCTACATCATCCAACCCACCTGTACTTTTACCTTTATCCGAAGTACCAAATGTCTCAACAGAATCAACTTTATTAAACCCTAAAAAATATTCTAAACTAACTGGAGATAAATTAAAAGTAACATTTGCTGAGAATCCTAATGAAGAAGAAATTTCATCTCAATTAACTAATTCATTAGATGGTACAAAACCGATAATTCATTATCCTACAGTTTCACCTGACCCGGTTAAAAAAGACAAAGGCCCTTGGCGCCTTATACAATGTACATCAAATAATGTTAAATTATAATTTTTTAAAAATGTACTTAAATTTTATTCTGGAAAATCACTACAAATTATAAATAATTCTTTTTGAATGTATCAGTAATTTTTTTAATAAAGACTTATTTCATCATCAGCTTATCAATTATTTATATACCATGTCTTCTTCATCCCTCAAAATATAGTATTCATTTACTCTATAACGTAGTATCATTTTACTTAAGATTATACTTAGGAAATATTATTTGTAGTAATGATTTCGTTTGAATGTAACCAATATCCTCTGTTCTATGACATTTAATACATAATATCATTCTTTCGGCTTCCGTGCTTTCATAAGGACTAGCTTTGTAGAGTTAATACAATGTTTTTGAGAGTTTTCAATATTTCATAAATCAATTCCTTTCTCTATCTTTAACTGTAATCCATGATTAGCAGTTAAAGAGACGTGATATTTCGAATTACTTTTCACTAAGTAATTCATTGTATAAAATTACTACTGAATGTTGCATAATATCATTTTATTTGATTAGAACTTTTCTCTAAACTTCAAAACCATCTGCTTGATCAAGATTCCAATGTTTGGATTAGCGTGAAATCTTACGCTACTACACATTCTAAGGACTTGTAAAGGATAAATTGAAAGTGTTGATCAAATGACATGGTTGAGAAAACATAATACTCATAAACAAATGTTAGATAGATTGAAGATATCATGATAACATTCATTATTAATAATTTCTAATAACTCCAAATACCATTGAAGTTCATCATAGATTTTAGTCATAGTAGAACATGAGTAATATTTACATTGGGTTTATTGATCATGATATTTCCTGGTTGAATACGATTACATTTTCTGTTTATTAAGTAAATTCGCTAATACGGTTAAAATATACATATTTCCTTCATAATGAATGTTTTATCAGACGGAACTAATTGTTATCATTTAAAACTCTCGTTATTCTTATTTTTGGCATTCATTGTTGAAATAAGCGTTGTCGTACATATATACCTAGTATACTTTCCAAGAATTAAATACAGGATAAGTTTTTAAACAATATTCCTAATTTGGTTTTAAGTTTTGTAGTTCCTAGTTAACCCATTCAAATATAGGTTACAAAGCCTAAGTTAATAATCCTAATACAATCTCTTCTGATGAGTTTTATTTTACATGTTTCACCATAATGCTACTGCAATGAGTTAACATTCTATAGATCAAGATGTAATTCATTAACATGGCTTACTGTTCATCGGTTCTATCATATAAAATGCAACACATATCGGATTGATTTTATGTACATGAATCACTAACTCCTCTATGAGATTCACTTAATTCCACTGGTATGGTGTAAAACATATAATAGTTTATTGATCAACTGACTATCTGACGTTAACATATTTCTGACAGATGAAGTAAATATGCGTTCTTTAATAGCTATTTGACTTTTTCAGTAGTGTAAGCAAAAAAACCATTTTCGATAAGTAAGTAATGAATAATCACAATAAGTTAGTCATTCTTATCGTATTAACAATGCAAAAAGTAAATAAGTTCCAGATATGGTTCCTAATTTGCACAATAGATTACATAATGAAAGGGATTCCACAGTTTTTTCCTTCAGTTGAATGTAACCAGATAGTCTTAGAATCATGTAAAAATATCAACGAACGTAGTTACACACTAAAACTTTAAAAATTAAGCGCCGTACAAGAAACATTAAACTTAGCAGCGTTTCATTGTAGTTAGTAATTGGATCCAGGATAAGCGTTTTATCTTACTAGGAACTTATTGACTAGATATAGCTGCATCCCAGTTCGAATGGCTTCTTCCTAAAGTTTTACTCATTAACTATTTTGAACTTTAGTTTCAACATAAACTTTTTAATGCATGTCATCTAGCTGATAGGTTCTCAGTAGGACAAAATGAACTTCACCATTTCCAACGTTAACTTCTATTCAACTATATTAAAATTCATGGCTAAGAGGCTATATCAAGACAGTCAACTAAGGATGTAAACACGCAAACAGCGGTCGATCAACAACAGTCATATACTTTTTCACACATAATCTTAATTTCATCTTTAACAAGAAACACATATATTCGACAAAATAACAAGATTTATGACCACCCATATAGATTTCCATTAACTAAATTCACAATCGTCATTTGACACATTCTAATTGATATTATACTATTTAAAAAAGAAAAACTAAGAAATAAGTAGAATAAATAAAAAGTTAGAGAAAAATGAAAAACAAGGAAGTGACAGTTACTAACCTGTATAAATAACATAAGTATATACATAGAGAATTCCACTTCACTTCTATCTATCGAACAATGTTCATAATCGTTACTTTATTATGAAATAAAAATGTATGTGAAATTGTCACAGTTAGTAAAATGAGTAAATATTGTATTTAAATATAAAATGATAAAAAGTTAAATTATTCTTTTATCCAACCAGTTTAACTACTTCAATTTAAATAGTTGAAATCATGAGTTAATTGAAGCTAGACCACCATGGAAAATCTGGAAGCACTGGACGGCTGTTTTGTTCTAGTATAGGATTCCTCAGCAGTGCGCATCCACAATCCCGCCTCCTTCAACGTTCGAACCCAGGACCTATCAGTCTCGCGCGTGAGCACTTAACCATTAGACCACTGAGCCGGCATTCAACGGTGTTAATGTTTAACTCCAACTAATCCAAGCAGTTGCGCCAACGTACACCATTGTGTTCAGTGAGTTGATATCTCACAACAGACCTGGTTGAACTCCACTGGTTACGGCTTCTCACTAGAACTCCAGGAAATGCCTCTTGAAGTCAGTCACTAGGACAAAAAGACCATCCAGTGTTTCCAGATTTTCCATGGTGGTCTAGCTTCAATTGACTCATGATTTCAACTATTGAAATTTCTAAAAATCTCCACAAAACCCCTTCTGATAATTCAATTTACTTCTTAACTACTTTCCCTTACTTTCCCTATTTAAAAATATCTACATAAAGATGTTACAAAGATGTTATTATTTTTTAAAAGAGAAATATTGGTACTTTTATCAGTTCTTATATGATTATCGTTTATTACAACCATTCATGTATAGTTTTCAAAGGTTAATTGGTATACGTTAAATGTGTTTGTTTGCTTTCATCATTGACTGTCGCTTGTAGGATTTGAATTTTTACACCAAATGTCGATTGTAAAGACGAAAACAAAATAATCCTTAATGAAAAAAAGACCTCATTATCGTTTATATTTTTACAGGATATTTTTTTGTTCTGAAAGACTAAAACAACACAAATATGGTAATATGTTCCATGTTACTTGAAAAACACACACATAACCCAGTATTTCAGATAAAATAAACCAATTATTTTTTTTGGTCTCGCATCTTCGTGGAAAATTTAACAATCTCCACAACCCCTGAACTGATAAATCAATAATTATTTATCATCAAAGTTTGTTTGAATTTACGGAAATTTGTAACCATGTACAAAAATTGAATAAAGAAGTTCTGTGTACACTGATAGTGTGCACAATCATGTTTATTTATTTTTATTCAAAATATATGTTATAAAGTTGTAGAATAAAAATTTTTATATCCTGGCTATCAATTTATATAACTCAGATTGTAGCTTATCTAAGGTTACTACCGGTTCCAAGTTCTGATAAAGGAGGAGGGTTGAACATGGGATAAGCAGCCTTATCCCACAGAAAACGACTTTGCTAAAAAAAACGCTGACCAGAAAAGTAATTGAAACTGTTTAAATTTTACCCTCCGAGTTGAAGGATCTTCTTTCAGAAGAATTATGATGTCTCATGATGAAAGCTAAGATTTTTTAAAAGTTACGAAGTCGATGCTCAGTCTAACAACCAATGCAGCGATTATTGTAGGCAAATGGAACGTCCATAAAATGTATGAGACCCGGAGAAAATGAGGAGATACAAGTTGACGGTTCTCGGAAGTAGTAAAACCCATCAGATCCTATCTAGACAGAAAAGATTACATTCTGGAGAGATGATACTGTACTCAGATCACGAACAAAAAATGGTCCATACACTCAGAGAATTAATCTGATGCTGTTCAAGCAAACACGAAATGCACTTACAGGATGGGAATCTCACGGATCCAGAATCACCAAAGTACCTTTTTGTTAAAACGCTCGGTCTTACTTCGTCTAATTTTATGGCGGTTGGGTTTACACGTTTACACGTATGAGACGTTAATTTACCTTAGACGAATATCTACACTAGATTCCCTCCCAGTGTCTATTTTACAGGACCTCAACACAACTCAGATCAAGAACACGTGATTAGCCTTACCACAACGTAAATATATTTCCACACAAAAAACCCGACACAATCCAACAATAATAAACAATCAATAATAAGTGAGTCATAATTATAATAAGGATAAGGAAATATATCACTCATCTGACACTTGTCAGACTGTCTACATGTCTGACTAAGCAGATAACCAATCATTATCATTCTCGCCCATACATCACTTTCAAAGCCAACAAGAAAGGAATCACAGTGAATATTATCCAATGTTATGCACACACCAATGATAACAATGACGACGGCAAGGATCGGTTCTATGAGATGCTAGAATCAATCATTGCGGAGTGCTCAAAAAAGACCTGACCATTCTATTGGGGGACCTAAACGCCAAAGTAGGAATGGACAACACTGGATACGAAAATATGATGGGACAAAATAGACTGGAAGTAAGGACTGAGAATGGTGACATTAGCAAATTTATGTGCATTCAACAAAATGGTTATATATGTCACTGTATTCACACACAAACACAAGCTGCATAGGTCTCACCGGACCACACTACAGTAGAAAAGTCAGAAGGTCAATTGAAGACGAGAGAACTAGGAGAGGAGCTGATATAGCTTCAGATAACCACTAACTGGTGGTTTTCAGAATGAAACAGAAGCTAAAGAAACATTAGACAACTGGGGAAACAGCATTACAAAGGTTCACTACAGCCTTCAAGTAACTGACAAACTCAACGAATTCAAGATAGCTCAGGTTTCAAGCCTTACATTATCTAGTGGAAGAAGACGAAATTACGATGAAGGACAACTGGAAAGAGGTTAAAGAAGAACTAACTAGAATGTGTCAGTAAGATTTGGGAGGAGGAACAAGTGATGACTTACAGACTGGAAAGAAGTATATCTCATCAAGATACCAAAGAAAGGAGATCTGAGAGAATGTGAAGATTATAGAGGTACGCACTACAATCAGTATTAGGAAAAGTTGAATGGATCTCGTCACTTTACATCAACTTACACAACTACAATGTGTTTGACACTGTGGATAGAAGAACCTTATGGAGACCCATTCAACATCATACGGAATTCATACGATGGACCACATTGCAAAGTCGTGCATAGAGAACAACCGACAGATGCATTCTATCCTATACGCAGCAACAAAAGCAGGTGAAAACAGACAGTGTAGCAGCAGACCCTGAAGCAGTAGGCCTCATCATACACAAAAGAAAGTCAGTAAACTTTTTGATACATTTGACTTTGCAGAAAATGTCAAAATTTTATGTACTTCACTTACTTATCCCAAAGAAAATATGTTTTAGCTAATGATAATATCCTTTTTAATTAATTAATAACTTTGAAACTTATCTTCATATGAAGCATGAGCAAAATTATTTAATCATTTTTGATCATGTTTGGACTGATTCAATATAAGAAGTGTAGAGACTGATATTAGTGACCGAACTTACGTACATTTCGTAGTCGAATATTTATATATGTTGTGATATGTGCTACTGATGTCGACTGATATAAATGATATGTATCACTAATCGAAAGTGGAATACCTAAAGACAGAAGGATGAGAAGATTAAAGAGAAGAGAATGAAAACAGAGAGTAATTGAAATGAAAATGAATGAATAGTCAAGTCTGAAACAATTGATGAATATTTTACAAATAAAGTATTTACTGTAGGATTCTCAGGTTTTAACAAGATATTCTGTAATGTTGTATTAAAATACATTTAGTTGCCTCCCTCCCACTGATGTTTTCGTTTACTATATTGTCTCTCGTCTATTTGTTTTTCAATTATCAAAGTATAGGTTCATTTATTTGAAATAGAATATTATCACCAATCGAAATAGTTTTATTTAACCAAATACATTTACAGTTCAATAGGCATGAGATTATCTTATTATAGCTGATAAAATGATTCAGAAATGTATTAACTAATCTTGTTTTTCATATAACATTGACTTGAAAGACACAATTTACGTTCCTTTTCTCCTTTTTTTAATTAACAGATGTTAGCAACATAATCTCACTTCAGCTTTTATGTACTTCATTTCGTCAGTTTATGATTTACACTATAAAGTTACATTTCATTTGCATATTTTTTTTTGAAATTTATTCTGTTATGGAATAAAGTAACATAAATCATACACTTCTTACAACAAATACATTTTAGGATATAAATGACTTAAAAGTCACCCAATGTATAATAATATTCATCTGAATTAGTGTACATATACCTTCCAATAATTTGGTAAATTTGAATATTAACTAACTACATGATTTTCTAATGTAAAAATAAGTTATGTAATTCTAGATATCAGTGTATTTGTTGAACATGCACATGGATCGTTTATGTTTAAGTCATTTGAATTGATCATTAACTTCGTGATTTGATCATGTTGGGATTTAAGCAAAGAC